CACACACACACACACACACACACACACACACACACACACACACACACACACACACACACCCTCACATTACAGACAGACAGACACGAGGAAATGGGGAAGGTTATTGTACAGTATACCGTCACTTGGTGATTCATCTCGGTAGGGCAAAGTGACAGGTGGGTGGGGTTACTTTGGTAGTAAATGGACTGTTACGCTTAGATACAGACACACTTACCAGAATCAGGGGGAGAGGTGACACGTAATGAATTGTGTGTGTGTGTGTGTGTGTTGCTTTTTCAATCTAATTTGGACCCAGTACAGATTAAAATGCTCTCAAGAGGAAGTGGGAAATTTTTGGGGTTAGTGGTTAGACAGATACATGATAGATCAAGGTCAGGCTTCGAGTTATGAGAAATAAACTTTGAGTAGGGTAGGAAATACATTAATCGTATGTTAATGAACACAGTGAGTTGAAGTAATAAAAGAAATCAGGTGATAACAGTGAAGACAAACTAAACAACAGAAGCACTACCTTAGAGACTTGCTTTCCAGTCAAAGCTGGGTTTGTCTTTTCTTTTGATATAATCAGTGCGGCAACAGCAGGTGGCACACCTGGCTGAGTGCGACTCACATGACTGGAATGTGTGCGTATTTTTTTAAAGGAAGTTAGCATTCACACTTCATTGTTACTACCACGCTGCCCTAAAATGAACTAAGGGGTGTGACTAATACCTGATGATAATAATGCAACTGTGACTTTACACATACTTAAATAAAGCTGTAGAAGTAGCAGTAGGAGCAGCTCTAACTGAGCGGCCTCAGCCAATAGTTAAGGGACTTCCGTCTGAACCCACAACCAGACTTTTTAGACCTCAGTATGAATGGATTTAAAAGTCCTTGTTTTCCTGTTTACATGTTGAGTATCCGGCTTGTGAAGACATTCACAGACTGCCAAACACCAATGAATCTTTACAAGTGTGAGTGTACGCAGTGTGAACAGTTCACAGCTACCTGGCAATGGACTAAAGTATTGGGCCGTGCCACTTAATCTTTGGAGTCACATGTTTTCTGTCCCTTTGCTACAAGTGAATAAAGTCAGTCACCTAGAAATGTGGTTTGCCTTTACAAAGATTTGTGAAAGCCCCAAAGCTCACTAAAATAGAGTGTGGTGTTGTAATAGTAAGCCATTGCTGCGGCAACCTTTGGGGCATGGATTCCTATGGCTCAGCAGCTCTCGTGGACACAATGGCTCAGTACTTTTGGCCTACCTTCTTTTGTCCTACCTTCCAGCCTTCCAAGGCTTTTTCCTGTTGGCATGTGTACTGCTTAAAGGAAATCTGATGTAGTAGTAGAGAATGCTATGATGGTATCCGCTGGTTTACTCTTTGGTTTTTACAGAAATCAAAGTGAGGTGGAAGTAGAGCAGGTGATCTACTAACTGGAAGGTTGGTGGTTTGGCCTGGTTGGCTACTGGCGGCTCCAGTCTGCACGCCAAAGTATCGTTGGTGAAGGAACTGAAGCCCAGGTTGGTCTCTGATGTGTTCATCGAAGTGTGAATGTGTGTGACTCTCAGATAGAAAGCACTTAGGTGTGGAAAAAGTGTGTGTATTAATGGGTGAATGAGGTATGTTGTATAAAGTGCTTTGACTGCTGAAGCAGAGTAGAAAAGCAGTATATAAGAATCAGTCCATTTCCATTTACAGATATAAAATAGAGGACGTTCACAAGTGACCGTATTAGTTGGTGTCAATTGTATACTGTCATATTGCTAATTACTGAAAGAACCAGGCTAGGTGTTAGCCCCCCAGGTGCCAGTTTCCCAGCTGATTAAGCCTTTCCTTTTCCTTCCTAAAGTCTGATTTCATGTAAACTGATGTTGCTTTTGTACATGTAAAACTGCAAATGCAGACTGTGTGGGAACTGTGATCTACATGTGAGGCGATAAAAAGCTTTATCGCCTAAGAGCATCACAATTTGGCTGAATTTAGCAGTTTCATGACATTTGTGAGAGCAGTGTGTCACTGTTTCACACTGTGTGGAGCACATTTCATTTCTGCGCTGACGTTGTCAGCTTACCTAAACTCCTATCCTTTCCTCACAGCTAACCAAAACTCCAACGCTGAAAACCAAACCTTACCAATAAAGCTCTGTGTTCTTTAGGGGAATTTTTTTTGAGTCTAGACAATTGAAGCCACACACACACACACACACAAACAAACATAAAACAATGAGTCATACTGAATATAATACTCACAGTTGATTCAAGTAAACTTGACTAGTTTGAGGATATAATTACCTCAGCTTGAGGAAGAGGAACACACACCAAGTCATAGAGTGGATTATGAGTAACGATAATGATTGTAATGCCTTTGCTTATATAGGCGCTATCAGTCATCCATTCTTATAAAGACTTATCTTAAAATTATATTTGATATTGACATTTGAGCGCAGGCTGTATCTCGTGGAGTGGGGAGGGAGTTGAAGGCTGGTGACGAGTGAGTCACACAGTAGCGCAGTTTCACTCTGAAGCGTCTTGGTTTTAAGGACATTCCTGACTATTTTGAGAAGTGAAAGGTGAAGTGAGGTGTTCTGCAACTATGTGCTTATCAGCTGATTTCTGTGGAATCCTCCGCGTGGAGTTTTCTGTCCTTTACTTGCACGCGCTTCTACAGAAATCAATTGACAATCAATGCCCAAGGGGAGAGAGAGAGAGAAAGGGACGCTCAGAATGAGGCTGGCGGAGAAGCGTAAAAAGAGGAGGTGTTGCATGACGTTCAGTATGAATGCGACGCTCCATTTTCAGAACTGTGATTCTGCTGTACTTTTAATCGGAGGGTTCTGATGAAAGAGATCCTCCCATCATCGCAGGACATGACTGCTTCTGCGGTGGAGGCTATTAGCCCCCTTTTAGCTTCCAGGCAGGCTGCTGGAGAGCCTCGCTGCTTGCTTGAGTTTTCTTGGACGAGTCTTTCCTGTTACTTCTTGTTGAGAAGTGATGAAAAAACAGATTTCCCTGAAAAATCATTAGTCATCCATTTCCTGTTTTCCATTTCCTTCTTCCAGTTCTTGTTAGTGGGGATATTTCACAATGAACAATGTGGTGATGGCAGATCTGTGGAAGTGCTGGTCATCAGATAACCACAACAAGCTTCAGAACTGACTTTGCCAAAAGTGAAGAGGCTCTTCACTGAACCAATCTTCTTATCATTTCACAGATGACCACGTTGTACAAACAGCTTTCTGGTCATTTTTTCAAAGAAGTAACTAAGGAGCAGAAGAGGAAGGGTCTCACACCGAATTGACGACACCAATCCTGACACTAGCTATAGCTACGCTCCACTGCTCTATGAATCACATGAGTCTGGTGAAAGCTGCAACCAGACTGGTTGGAGGAGGTAGAAGCGGTTTTTCTAGTTTTTGCTTCATACGTGGGAAAAATATGTTCAATGCTAATGACTAAATAGTTCCCAGCTAAAGCATTTCCAGACTTCTCTCATGAAAGACGAGGAACGCGCACACAAAAGATTACATTTTTTCTCTAGACAATCACATTTGATCTGATTCCATTGTTGGATTCAAGACATATGACTTTCATGAGAATAGCAGGTACAGTAGTAGCAGTAGCAGTTGAAAGAGTAGTAGGACAAATTTATATTATATATCCATATCATATCACTGTAAACCAACACAGTGACCTAAACAACCTACTAACCAAAGCTAACCAAATAAAGCAATCAAGATGTGATTACAGTGCAGACCTTTAGCTTTAATGAATAGGGGTTTAACAAAGGTGCTACGATCATTTTAAATCCTCCCTTGATGTCATATAGCTGAATCTGAGTACACTTCAGAATTCATCAGCACTCACATCTTCAATTAGTTGTTTCTCTCTTACTCTAGACTTTCCCCACAAATAAATCTCGGTTTCATGTGTCAAGAACTAAGCAGGCAAGTCTAATCTGGCCATCATGTTCTTGAGTGTACTGATATTCAAAGTATCTTCTCTCGCAATATCTTCACAATCTAATGTAAAGATACCAAATGCAAGTTCAGAACTTGAAATCAACATCAGGTCTTTTACCCACTTAATATGTCATTGAACAACGAGGAAACAGGTCTCACCTGTAACTGCGATTCAGTCTATCGATCAATAAAATTCTATTAAATTCAATTTGTAAATGAGTTCTGTGTAGGAGTTAATTGCTGTAACTCCTAAGCAGTTCATACAAAACAAAACGAAGACCCTTGAAGTAAAGCTGAACATCTGAGACAAAATGTCAATAAAGTGTCCAAACGTGTAAGGATCCAACTGCGTATGTATTGAACAAACAGACAGTTCCATGCTTAATTATCCTTCACTAAGCATATTTTACTAAATACTTAACCTATGACCTACATTGTGGGTGGTTGCAACTAATAACTCATGATAGTAAGGATACCTCATAGAGCCTCGTAACTAGTAGTAGGATTATGCAGTATAACACAGAGGGACATAAGAATGTGCCAGCAAAAGACAGAAAACCATCGACCCCTTCACTTTGTGACCAATTCAGTAAAAAGGACTAGATATTACAGTCCTGCATTGCTGTAAATGGAGAAAATCTTGAGGGATGGCTGTTATGAGGAAAGGCAGCCCAGACACTTTACCAGTTTGGGACACATCGTCAGTAGTGGACCTTGGATTCATCGGGTGTTTCGGCCATTATCACTAGATACCCTCATCCAAGGAGGCCTGACATTATCTGAATTTCTGATTCATCTATTCATGCCTGCCCTCAGATAAATGAAACAGGCAAAAAAAAGAGTATATTTAAGGTTTTCCCCTTAAAA